CATTACTACAGGTGGGCAAAGTGTCTTGTCTAAGGAACACACTATAGAACTTGAGCCACAGTCACTCCTGTTCTGATTCTGATTCTGACTTGTACTTTGGCAAAACACACCAGAGTGAGTGTTAATGAGTAAATGGGTCCTTGATTTAGTATAAATACATGCATCACAATATAATTACTGTAATAATAACTCATAATTATTTACCTACAGGTATCTTAAATAATCATAATATCATTTAAAACATGTAAAATAGAAGAGGTCAGGGGACAGTCCTTACTAGGGGTGTAACGATATCCAAGTCTCACAATACGATATCATCACGGTACGATATTTATTGCGATATCGTGGGAAAGCTCACGATTAGAGATGTAACAATATCCAAATCTCTCGGTACAATGTTTTCACGATAAACATCTCACAGTATGATATTTATTGCGATATTTTGTGGAGACTAATATGCTACTTTTTCCTCTTAAAATGCCTTAATCCAAAGAACTAAGACTTAAAAGTGTTTAGAACTGTTATTTCTTCTTGTAGTCTGCACTGAAATGGAGCAAAGGATCATGGTCTATGTAGTTCTCTGTCTATTGCTGCACCATAACTCTTAATTTAAGCAAAGAGACTTGTAATTCGATATATTGTGATGGTCCACGATATTATTGCGAGAACTTTGACGATACGACATCACGATATTTTGGTTATTGTTACATCTCTAGTCCTTACAGTCACATGCAGCTGAACAGAAATGTTTTGAGCCTGGATTTCAACATAGTCAAAGCAGAGGCGTTTAGTCCCGACTCTGGGCACGAGCAGGAGAGCTAGATGGTTCACAGTGTTGGGGAGTAACAGATTACATGTACCAGAGTTATGTAATCAGAGTACAAATTATGAGTAACTGTATTCAGTTAAAGTTACTGTTTCAGTGAGTGGTAATTAGATTACAGTTACTTGGTTGAAATAAATTTTTCCTTGGTAATTCCAGTCATTGCTGGACACTAAACCAGGTCTAAACCAGGTCTGAACTAGGTCTAAACCAGGACTAAACCATGACTGAACCAGGATTAAACCAGGACTAAACCAGGACTAAAACCAGGTGTAAACCAGGTCTAAAACCAGGACTAAACCAGGATTAAAACCAGGACTAAAACCAGGACTAAACCAGGATTAAACCAGGACTAAACCATCACTAAACTAGGACTAAAGCAGGACTAAAACCAGGACTAAACCAGGATTAAACCAGGACTAAATCAGGACTAAAACCAGGTGTAAACCAGATCTAAAACCAGGACTAAACCAGGATTAAAACCAGGACTAAAACCAGGACTAAACCAGGATTAAACCAGGACTAAATCAAGATTAAACCAGGACTAAAACCAGGAGTAAACCAGGTCTAAAACCAGGACTAAACCAGAATTAAAACCAGGACTAAAACCAGGACTAAACCAGGATTAAACCAGGACTAAACCAGGTGTAAACCAGGTCTAAAACCAGGACTAAACCAGGATTAAAACCAGGACTAAAACCAGGACTAAACCAAGCATAAACCAGGACTAAACCAAGTCTAAACCAGGACTAAACCAAGTCTAAAACAGGATTTAACAGGACTAAATCATGCTGCATGGGCCTTGTCTCTTCCTCTTCTCTCAATAATATTTTTATTACGGTAAAGTAAAAACTGGGCTTTTTATTGTCTTAGCAGATAAAACATCTTATGTTACAATATCCTAGTGTTTGCTTCTCTACAGCAAATCAAGTAATCTAAAGTATTCAGATTACTCACCTTAAGTAATTTAATGGATTCCGTTACAAACTACATTTTGGGGTGTGTAATCTATATTCTGTAGGGGAATACATTTTAAAAGTAACCTTCCTAACACTGATGGTTCATAAAGGTTCATTTTTTTTGATCCATTCTTCTATAAAAGCCTCAGTGTCAGTATAACATCATTACATTTACGCACAATCAATCAAGAAATGCATTTTAATCTACTGGATCGGGAGATTTATGTACTGTATCTTTCATATTCTGACTCGGTACGTACAGTATCCAAATATCTCTGACGTTGCTCTCAGCATCACGCAGGTTTTACGCACGCTCAGCACGCACGGCCGCACGTGACAGCAGAGTGCAGTGAGCGCGGGACGGGACACAGCACGCGCCTCCCCTGCTGCATCTCTGTCCCCGACACTGTCCCCCAACACTGTCCGCAACACTGTCCCCACTGTCCACAGCACTAACGCGGCGTGGAAATGTCTCACGGTGCCAACAAAAACACGCACATCCGGATAAAACGAGACGAAGAAGACGCACGAGGATTTGGTGGATGAGCTTTAAAAATATTCTCTAAGACACACGTGACCGCCTCAGAACATAACCTGCAAAAATACGGAGCTGGAAATGGAGAGCAGTGCCTCTAAACGCTGCGGTGTTTGGTGCACCTGCGCGGGCTTTGTCACGGCGACTGCCCCGAACCACGGTCCTGCACCAGCCCGAGTCCCGCTGCTGCTGTCCCGCGGAGGACTGCAGTGACATGTCCGCCGTGTGACCAACAAAAACAGCTCTTTACACACTGCTCTTAAGACGTGAGCGCGAATAAAACCGGTCTGAAATAGTGTCATGTTGTCCCGGTAAAGTTTGTCCCGTGTTCACCTGAGCCCCAGAGCCGTACTCACCGTCTATCGCCATGATGCTCCGTCCCGGACGCTACCATCCTCTGCGGGAGGGGGGTGGAGGAGGCGCGGGGAGAGAGGAGGGGAGGTCATGGTGCTGCCAAGCCGGACGGTGCAGCGCAGTCCCGGGCTCTGGTTGTGTAAGCACCGGGATGGAGGTGGGGTGTAGTAGAAAGTGCAGGAGACAGGTGGCGGTGTGAGACAATCTGCCCCCTCCAGCCCAACGGGAATCAAGCCAATTTATCTCAGGAAAAGTATGTTCTGGTGTTTAGTGAATTGGCCAACTGTAAATAATACTAATACTAATAATAATAATAATAATAATAATAATAATATGATCATTTTAAAATGGGATTCCTGTGGTTTCTGATTTTGGGGAACTAGTTTGCCTTTAAAGTAAATTTCCAAGTGTCAAATTAACACTTAAAGAGTAAAATTTTATTCTATTTCCGAGTGTACATGGTGCTTATCTGTACGGAGTAAAATTTACTCAGCTTCAGAATAAAAATATTCAGTGTCATATTTACACTTAAAGAGTAAGGTGATGACACTCAGTAGTGTTTTCAGAATTTTACTCTAGTGGTTTATTTAATCTACACAGAGTGAAAAGTAGTGTTCATTGTTTACTCTGTTGCAGTGCTGGTAATGACACTTATTAGAGTGTTTTTAATAACACTACACAGAGTAAAAATCACTCTTTGTAAGGGTCATATTTAGATTCAGATTCAGAAAACTTTATTGATCCCATAAGGCAATTCATTTGCAGCATCTCCGAGCAAACACAAACACAAACACAAACAAACACACAGTGTGTCAGTCCAACTGTCGTCCACCAGTGGAACTCAAAATAAATAACAAATTGCAGAGTAAAACTTTCATAAAACTATCATAAAACTGTACCCTTAGAATTTAATAATTTAATAGCACTGGGCACGAAAGAATTAGAAAACCTTTTGGTTTTCCGTACTGGAGCATAAAACCGACGCCCTGAAGGCATCAGGATAAAGTCAGGAGCCAGAGGATGGAGCGGCTGAGCCAGGAGACACTTGGCTTTGCTCAGCACCTGCTCCTCCCACAATTTATTATTATTATTTATTTAATCATCATATTTACTCTTGCAAGAGTTATATTCACAGATTTTATAGTGCAAATTACACTTTGCTACTAAAGAAATAAAACCACAAATTGTAAATATAAATGCCAGTTTATTATTATGTTAAAACATCTTTTCAGTAAAACATTGACCTGAGATACAAAATGACGTAAGGTACAACATACTTGGATGAATCCAATATTCCATACATACTTCCACTTCTTTTTTCAATTGAAAAAATAGCCTATATTTCAGTTAATTTACATATGTAGACCTTTTTAACTCTTGTGCACCCCTTTAAAATAATCACACCTGTGTTCCTTCGTGACAAAAATGTACATGGGAAAAGAATACCACAATATTTTTATGCAGTATATATTTTTGTCCAACTTTTTTATATCATGTCTTCATTTACTTCTGCCCTAATCATACATACCAAATATTATATAATATTTTGAAATTTTAATCCCTTAAATGACATTTTTGACAGCAAAAGTATAACATTATGTGCATTTAAAAAAAAAAAAGAAAGAATTTTAATTTGTTTGTGTTGAGATGATCTGAGGCTGGAGGCTTCTCTAGAACAAACCAGATCATTTTAACCTCAAATATCTATGTCTCTGGCCTTCAGTCTGGACTCAAATGTACAAATATCTTTCTATTGCTATAATCTTGTAATGGAAGAAACACAGTAAAAGGAAAAATATCAAAAAAATTCAAAAAGACATTAAAACAAAAAGGGTTTTCAACACCAAAGAATGAAAAATAAATCAGAAAATAAAAATATACTGGCAAAGTTATGTGAATGGGGCAAAACTGTACCTAAGGATTACAGGTGTGATTATTTTGATTATAGTTTGTTCATTTAATTTGATCTTGTGAGAAAACACAGAAATTAAAAATACATCACAAAATGAAATACACAAACTGGCCAATGTTGGTGCTATTTCGTAGCCTGATTCATCAAACAGTTTCACTTCGTAGAAACCATCTGAATTCATTCGTTCGACAGTAGGCAGGTACTTTTTTTCATTTAACCAGTCGCTGCTATTTGGTTGTGATGTATGTATTGCTAACTGGTATATTAAGCTTTTCCCAAATCCCTGTAGGAAGATAAAATTCACCAAACCTTCTCTTTGTTTCGGCTTTAAATCCTCGATCTTGGAAATCGTTTCCAACACAGAATGTATCACTTTTCGTCTGATTGGCTGGTGCCCGAACTCGCACTTCTTGCAAACCGCCTAGTGTATTCTGATTCCTGACATAGTCGCTGGAGAGAAATTTTATTGAGTGGAGGCACAAGGTGGCACCAGCCTGGCTAAAGAAAAACAGTCATCATTGCCAAATACTACAAAGAACCACAGGCAAAGAAACATTTGAACATTTTTTAGGCCTAAATCTTCTAGTGGATGATGCGCTGCCGAATCTTTTTAACCAAAAAAGTGCTACAAATCACGTTTAAGAAATCACTGATATTCACATGATCATGTATAAAGTAGGTCAATATGGCTAAAGGATGAAATACAAAAAAGAACCCACACTTAAGTCAAACTGCTCCAGTACCTCATTTGGATTAAAGTGCAGGTAGCCTTTTCATTTTTGCATGTCCCTCAGACTAGTCCAGACCCAGCCCTGCAGGTTCAGCTCACACGGTGCAGGTTTGTGGTTCTTCTGACTCACAACGTCGACGCTGCAGGGGAATTACAACACTGAACCACATTTGCATATATGGTGTTTACTATAGAACTGTAGAATTGTACAGACAAAACAGCAGTCTAAATAATGCACAAATAGTAAGTAATATTACCATAGATGGGGTGACCAGATTTTCAAAATAAAAAGATGAGACACACCCGGTTTGTGGTGGTTGGTAATAATAAAATTGAGAATCAAAAATTGTTCTGCATTCGGGTCATTCACGACTAACATGTCAGAATAGTCACATTTTCTTTGTGTTTTGGTCATTTTTAAGCAGCTTTTCCTAACAAATGACAATGTATGCCTCTCTTTACTGTTAGAAGGTATCAAATTAGTTAAAAATACAGACATTTCTGCCCGTAAGTCCAAGTCAAATCCATGTTGTTAGTTTTGAGAGTCAAGTTCATTTCAAGTCTTTAAACCACAAAAGTACCATTTATAGCTTAGATTTTTTTTTTTAAGATAATACAGTAAGAACAGGAAGATTCAGATTTAAAAGTGCTCCTCAAGTCACAGGACTCAAGTCCGAGTCAAACCTCAAGTCACTGACCTCCAAGTCTTGTCCCAAGACTTTGTCCATTTTATCAAATCAAGTTTCAAGTCCTAAAAATAGTGACTCAAGTCTGACTGGAGCCCAAGTCATGACTTGCAAGTCCCACCTTTGCTTTCAAATATAGGCTTTTACAACTCAAGCAGAAGTGCATATGGTGAGCAAACTATGGCCCAGGGGCTATATGCAGCCCTTTAATCTTTTTAATCCGGCCTGCCAAACTTGAATAATAATAATAAATTTCAGTGTTTTAAAAGTAATTTCAATAAATAGTAAATACTGTGGGACTTGAAAGACAGATATTTTGTTGTAATGCTTTGTAATGATTTTCAGTGATGGGATATTTCAATAACATGGGATATTTTTTCTATCATATTTCATGTATTTTTATTTTTTTTTTTTTCTCTTATGAGGTGGATTACCAAAAAACTCCATGCATCTGCTCCTGGTCCGGCCTTTCCATCAAATTTTGGAATCTTTTGTGGCCCACGAGTCAAAAAGTTTGCCCACCCCTGGTATAGGCCGTCTTTATCCGTGCAAAAATACTCATAAAATAAAAAAAAATCATCTCTGGAACCAGCGCCTCGGAGCCAAACCAGCGCCAACCCGGACCTACATCACCACACAAACCCCGCCCCTCTGCGCTGCGTCTGTCTCCGCACATTTCCGCAAAGTTTGGGAGTGTAGACTGCCACTCTCCCGCAACCAATTAACTCCATTTTACTTCTTTTAGTCAGTAATTTTAGCAAAAGTCGTTCAAAATGAGCGAAATCAAGCCTATCGAAGTCACCGAGGAAGTGGATGAGGAGAAGGATTGGGCCGCTGCCAAAGCGTTCTTTGACAACCTCAAAACTAAAAAACCCAGACCCGTGAGTAGCTGTCACATTTTAGTTGCTATTTTAGTACTTTATTAAATATCAGTGGATGGTTTCTCACGTAAAATTGGCTTATTTACGTCGTGTGTCATCGCGTTTTTCCATATCCGACTAAAAAGCGGGCGTAACAAGCGTATTACCAAGTTTCCATTTTCAATATTGCTGTAAACTTTAATAAATTACTATTAAACTGGCATAGGTCGTGCACAATTACGCATTACGCATTGTTCACCCATAATTTGCTATTAAAATTCGTTTTTATTAGACAGTTTAACCCCAAATGACCGTAGAGTTTACCATTAGCCAGTACTGTTCGTCATTTTACGCATTACGCACGAACTCTTTTTGTTTTTATCCACATTTGCAGCCCAAACCACGAAACGCAGTCACTATCGCCGTTTCTTCCCGGACACTTTTCAACCTGGTGGAGGAGCGGAAGATATTCAAGGAGCAGGGCGTAGAGAAGTACGTCGCTCACCAGGTGGAACACGAAACCGAGCCTCTCCAGCCCGGGCCTGCGTTCCCCTTCGTGAAGGTACAGCACACTGACACTGCACAGGCTCAGAGCTGTGGACTTTATATCTGCATGTGGAGCAGAGTGGGTGTGGCAGTAAAGAGATATGAGCCTACACAAAATGTTAACATAGATAGATAGATGAAAGATAGTTCAAGTAAGTAAAACATACAAGTTGTAAAATAAAGATTACAGAGCAAGATTGTACAGCTGTGATTTTTAAACCTGTCACTCTAAAGCTAAGGTGGGGCCAAGTCGTTGTTTTGCAAGTCTGAAGTAAGTCTCAACTCTTTGAACTCAAGTCCGAGTCAAGTCCCAAGTCAAATACAAGGCAAGTCCAAGTCGAGTCCCGAGTCTCTGTCCCATAAAGTCCAAGTCATCTGCTTTGAGCTTCAAGTCTTTAAACCAAATTACCACTTATAGCTTAGATTTGAGCAATTTATATGAATTTTAAACTAAACTGTACTTAAAAAAGTCATTTTATATTTATATATGAGTAATATTAGGGATGTAACAATATCCAAATCTCTAGGTACGATATTTTCACGATGTACATTTCACGGTGCGATATTTTGGAGAGGCTAATGTAATTGTTAGATAGGATATTTTTCTGCTTTTAAAATACCTTGAGAAGATTTTGTTGCAAATCATTACCATCATAATTCCAAGAGTTCAAGTAAAAAACATATTTTGTCATGTTGTCTGCACTGAAATGAATCATGGGATATGTAGTTCTCTATGTTTTTTAGCTTTTGCTTTTGCTTCTATAAAACAATACATTTAAGCAAAGAAAATCAATAATTCAATGTATTGTGACGCCCCACGATATTGTGAGACTTTTTACGATACGATATCACGATATTTCGGTTGTTGTTACATTCCTAGTATTTATATAAGAGTTGTAGAAATGTGAATTTTTCCTTTTTAAATTTCTTTGTCAAGATCTTAGTGTGAATCATTACGGTCAGAATAGAAAGTCTTCTCAAGTCACAGGGCTCAAGTCCAAGTCAAATCCCAAGTCACTGAGCTTCAAGTCCAAATCGTGTCGCAAGTCTTGGTCTGTTTTATCAAGTCAAATCTCAAGTCCTGAGTCCAAGTCACGACTTTCAAGTCCCAACCTCTGTTCTGGATGCCTGCGCCTGTTCCGGACACGTCCCACTGGAAGCAGGTCCCGGGGAAGACCCAGGACACGCTGTACGGACTATGTCTCTTGGCTGGTCTGGGAACGCCTTGGGGTCCCCCCCCCGGAGGAGCTGGAGGAAGTGTCCAGGGTTAAGGAAGTCTGGGAGTCCCACTTAGACTGCTGCCCTCACGATCCGGCCTGGATAAGCAGAAGAAAATGGATGGATGGATACGTTATATATTGAAATCCTTAAAGTGCCCACCATTTGCTTTGTTATTTTTAAATTCCATATATTTTGCTTCTTAAATCTTCTGTGTGCTCGTATGTGGTAAGCGTTTAAAAAAAAAAATAGAAAAAAAAACATTGAATGAGAGGGTGTGTCCAAACGTTTGACTGGTGCTGTTTAAACATTACCAGTCAAAAGTTTGGCCACACATTTTTCTTCTTTGATTCATAATTCCACACATCTTGCATCATATACAGTATTTGATGTCTTCCATATCTAAAATTCAGAATATAGTAAACATAATGAAAAAAAAAATGAATGAGAGGGTGGGTCCAAACTTTACGGTAGCTTATTAGCAGAAGTAGTAATAGTCGTAATAATTTTCAATAAAAAGGATAATAAACTATAACAATGAGTAAAGATCACAATACACATTACAGAACATTTATAAAACCCTGTGCCTTTTTATTATAAATAGGGATCTAACAATAACCAAAATATTGTGACATCGTTTCGTCAAAGTATCTCTGCTTAAATTCATTATTATGGTGCAGCAACAGCTAAAAAAACTGAGAGAACTACATAGACCATGATCCTCGGGTGTTGTCGGTGCCAATTTAACATTAATAACACTTTAAACTCTTACAGGTGGTATAGAGGATTTTTAAGGGAAGAAAAATACAGCAACAAGAAATACACCACCTTCCTCCTCCACAGCTCCCTCAGTAGAAACAGCCTCTCTACTCCTCCCGCCTCCTTACTCTAGAAATTACGTTTGTTTACAGCCAGTGTGCGTTCAGAATTACTTTTGAAGTGACCTGTCTAGAAGTAATTCAGCGACCGACGTGTCAGGTTTTAGACCCTTTGTCTGCTTCAGTCGCGCCATCGCTGGAAGGAATCTTCAAGAATCACCTCAGTTTGGCTTTGCTCCTTTTCTCCTTCTCTTCTTCTTTCAGCGACCTCAAAAACAGGCTTTCTTTTGCAGCGAACTGGTCGTGGATTCTCGTGCGCCATCGCAACAAACTTGTGCGAATTGTGAGGAAGCTATAGTTTGAAAAAGCTTCTAAGAATCGCTACATAAACCACGTCATCCCCGCACGTCGGCGAGTGAGTTACACTAGGAATGTAGGGAGTTTGATTTACAACCTAACAGCCAATAGAAAATGAGGGAGCCTCGTTTTCTATTGGCTGATGTTTATCTGGCCTCACTACGTCCTTAGTTGATAGATTTTCATTCTTTTTTTCTTTTTTGGCCATCATAATTACAAGGCTGCTGCGTCTCTGTAATGGTGTTTTAAACTTTCATTGACAATTTGAAACTAAGGAGGATTTTTTTTTGTTTCAAGTTGTCAATGATAGATTATAGAGATGCAGTAGCCTTGTAATTATGATGACCAAAAAAAAGAGAATAAAAATTCATCAACTCTGGACGTGGTGGGGCTAAACATTTGCCAATAGATAACGACACTGCCTCGTTATCTGTGAGCTGACAGGCTGTCAATCAAACTCCCTACGTTTCTAGTGTAACTGACTTGCCTGCGCCGCCGGTACGTGGTTTACGTACGACTGTCACGCAGTCCACAGACGCAAGCCGCACGGACGCTGTTTACTCCACCAACGCAACAGTTCTTAGCGGCTTTTTTTTACCTATATCTTCCTCGCAGATCGCACAAAGTTTGTTGCAATGGCGACAAGAATCCAGGAGCAGTTCGCCGCAAAAGAAAGTCAGTTTTTGAGGTCGCTGAAAGAAGAAGACAAGGGGAAAAGCAGCGAAGCCAAACTAAGGTGATTCTTGTAGATTCATTCCAGCGATGGTGCGACTGAAGCAGACGCAGGGTCTAAAGACTGACGCATTGGTCCACAAATTACTCCTGGACAGGAAACTTCTGCTTATTATGAAAACCTACTTTATTTCCAAGAGCTAGACAAACGTTTTTCAGGACACGAATGCGATATCCTATGTCTGAAAACGTAATTTTCAAGGCAAAGAAAGAGTCCGCTTGCTGCTGCGTGTTGTAGCTAGTTCATTCGCACGGAATCTCCACGCAACCTTCTCTGCTCCCCTTTCCTGCTCCTGTCCCCGCTGCCCGATCCACTCTTCCCCCTGCTCCTCATTTCTCCGGGCACGGAATCTCCTCTCTCCTCTCCTCTCTCCTCTCCCTGCTCCTCACTTCTCCCTGCTCCTCACTTCTCGTCCGCGAACGAAATGTCCGCACACCCCCTCCCCCCGCTCCTCACTTCTCCGTCTTGCCTAACCAACACTGTAGTTAGTTGTTTACAAGTCATGTGCAGCACCGGCTGTAAACAAACCTGTTTCTGGCGTAAAGAGGAGGCGGGAGGAGGCGTTTCTACGTAGGAGCTGTAGGGGAGGGGGGGTGGTTTCACGCATGCGCAACATTTGAAAAAGCACAAACAGTCGCTGGATTTCTCGTTCCTTGGAAAATCCTCTATACAACCTTTAATTCTTTATATTACAACAGAACCATTATAACAGTATCAAGGCTTTTAAAAAGAAATAAGTGGCATATTCACAATTTTGTTAGCCTCTACAAATATCACAATAAATATCGTACTGTGAAATGTATATATCGTGAAAGTATCTTGCCGAGAGATTTGGATATATCATTACATCCCAAGTTATAACACAATTGTCATCCTTTCATACCTACATTGTATTGTCTAACCTGCTATGCTCATTTCAAATTAAAAATAACAATTCCTTGTACTCGATTGTGTAATGAAATTTGCATGGAATTCAGAAGTGTCACTCTGACCGCGCCCTTAACCACTATGACAGGTATGTGCGGCCCTGGTTCAGAAGAGTGCATTAGACTTTTTTAGGTCTCTGAACGAATGTGCCTCTAGCTGTAGGTTAGATGTAAGTCTGGAAATGAAATTCTCCGTTGATGTTACACAATGCGACCAAACAACTTCCTCACTACTGTAGGAATGTCTGCTTTTTACACCGTGTTGTAGCAATACTGGTCAGTTTGTGGGTTAAGAAAATAATGACGGTACAGTCCTGATCTTTCAAAACGTTATGCAAAATTGACTCTTTGAGCTTTTAGCCATGTTTGAATGTTGTTACTTCATCAAAAACATTTCTGGACTTGTGTTTTGTTTCATTAACGCTTAGTTTTGTGTCATTAACACATGGTTAACACACAAAAGGACCCTTGAGATGCTGCAGTTTTTTTTACCACGACACCATATGTAGCAGCAAATGTGACAGAAGACTTTTACAGGAAATACTTTTAGGCAAGGCAAGTTTATTTGTATAGCACAATTCGTACACAAAGTAATTCAAAGTACTTTACAAAATAAGAAATGCATTAAAATCATAATAAAAGCAAATCAAAACATAAATAATCATGAAGATTAAAATAAAAAAAGAGAGACATAAATTGGAGAGAAGAGTGCGGAATGAAAACCTTTCAGTTATTTGCACAGTTAAACAGAAATGTTTTGAGTCTGGATTTAAACAGCGTCACAGAAGAGTCTGTCTCACATGTTCAGACTGTTCCAGGTTTTAGCTGCATGAATCTGAAACTCTGACTCCCCTTGTTTAGTCGTGACTCTGGGCACCAGCAGGAGGCCGGTCCCTGAGCTCCTCAGAGTGTGAGATGGTTCATATGACACTAACATGTCACAGATGGACTTTGGTGCTCGGCCATGGAGAGACTTGTACAAGCAGAGCTGCTTTAAAGTTTATTCTCTGAGGCACAGGAGCCAGTGCAGAGACCTGAGCACAGGACTTATGTGCTCGTACTTCCTAGTTCGAGTAAGGACCCGAGCTGCAGCGTTCTGGATGTTCTGGATGTTCTGGATGTTCTGGATGTTCTGGATGTTCTGCAGCGTCTCACAGCTCGTTTGGAGAGACCAGTGAGCAGAACATTACAGTATCTAACCTACTGGAGACAAACGCATGGATAAGTTTCTCCAAGTCTGATTTAGACAGTAAACCTTTGATTTTTGCTATGTTTTTCAGATGGTAAAAGGCTGCAGATGTTATTGATTTGATGTGGATGTTAAAGTTCAAGTCTGAGTCCATTATTACTCCTAGATTTCTTGCCTGATTTGAAGGTTTTAGAGAGAGAGACTGGAGGTGACTGCTGACACTGTCCCTTTGTTTCTGTGGACCAAACACTATGACTTCAGTCTTGTCAGAGTTTAGCTGGAGAAAGTTGTTTTGCATCCACACACTGATCTGTTGGATGCAGTGACCAAGTGAGTCCACTGGTCCTACTTTTAGAGGAACACAAGGGACAGTTGGATTGTGTGAACTTCATTTTTTGTTGTTTCCATATCCTTGGAGACTGCAAGAGGCAAACCAAGATGATACACTACCGCTCAAAAGTTTTAGAATGCCACACTTTTTTCTGTTTTTTTTACTGTTTACTGTCGACCAAAACGTATTTTTATTAACTTTTGATTCCTGAAAGTGTCCACCTTTGGCAGACATAACAGCTGAACACACTCGTGGCTCGTTCTTTTTACAATAGAAATCAAAAAATCTTCAGAAAGTTCTTCCCAAGTCTGTTGCAGAAGTTTTGTCCATTTCATCGCAAACCAGCTCGATGGGGTTTAAGTCTGGACACTGTGCTGGACACTCCATGTTTTCAAGCTTTTACCTTCTTGTTCTTTTTTCCTGAGGTAGTTTTGGCAGAGCTTGGACTTGTGTTTTGTTATATTTTATCTTTTTTTAACCTCTGTCTGTTCAGTTCTTACCTTTTATACCATTTCAAGCTCTTCATTGGACTAACACGACTTGAATTGCAGTAAATAACTGGAAAAATTAGGGTCTTCTAAAACTTTTGACCGGACATTTGAGACGTTAAAGGCTTTTTACACCATATGTGGCAGCAAATGTGGCAAAGACCTTCAGAGGAAATACTCCCAGACTTTCAAGATGAAACACTTTGAGGGAATTAATCATTTCAATCACCAAGAAGTGGAGTAAGAACAAGGCGTTGAGGCTGCTGTGACGCTGCAGGACACAGATGAGGGACACTTTTGGCTTTTCCTTTCCTCAAACTGCCCTTGACACAGATCTGCAGACCTTTCCTGACAAATCCTCCTGTTAAACTGCACTGAGACCTTTGACTGAGACACAAAGGACACTTTAATCTACACTATCAGTCAAAAGTTTTAGAACACCCCAATTTTTCCAGTTATTTATTGCAATTCAAGTCGTGCAAGTCCAATGAAGAACTTGAAATGGTGCAAAGGTAAGAACTGAACAGACAGAGGTTAAAAAAGATAGAAGATGACAAAACGTAAGTCCAAGCTCTGCCAAAACTACCTCAGGAAAAAAGAACAATACGATAAAGCTTGAAAACATGGAGTGTCCAGCAGCACAGTGTCCAGACTTAAACCCCATCGAGCTGGTTTGGGATGAACTGGACAGAAGAGTGAAAGCCAAGAAACCTACAAGTGCCACACATTTATGGAAACTTCTGCAACAGATTTGGGAAGAACTTTCTGAAGAATATTTGATTTCTGTTGTAAAAAGAACGAGCCACGAGTGTGTTCAGCTGTTATATCTGGACACTTTCATGAATCAAAAGTTTAGAATACGTTTTGGTCAACAGTAAACAGTAAAAAACTGGAAAAACTTTGGTGTTCTAAAACTTTTGAGCGGTAGTGTATGTATAGCTATATTTGAAGGTTTACATTTACTTTATGAGAACATTTCATACACTATTTTAAATGTAGTTTTATTCTACACTTGGAAATTAATGCTTTTTCTCATTTCATGGATTCAAAAATCAGAATTGGCTTCTCAGTTTTCCCGGTTACATTTTTCTTGATAACATCCAATCCATAGTTAATGAACTACAACTACACAAAAGGACTTGTAACTGTGATGTATGACTACACAAACACGCACACTCATCCATCCCGCTCGTGTTCACAGGCTCTGATGAACGTGAACGACCGCCTGAGACAGCTGTACCCGGGAGAGGAGGAGCTGTTTGACATCGTGCTCATGACCAATAACCACGCCCAGGTCGGAGTGCGCCTCATCAACTCCATCAACCACTACGGTACTCACCCGTTACTGATCAAAACTAAAACTAGAATCCAAACTAATGTGTAATCCTCATTTAAAATGTACCGATACGGAAAAAAATATGTGCTGTGATACTAAAAGTCTTTGTTAAACCACTTCTGGTGCAAAATTAAAATGAGACTAGGGATGGGCATTCGATGAAATTTTCTTAATCGATCGTCGGAAGAATTAACGATCGATTATCGATTAATCATGAACGTTTTTATATTAAAATGATCATCATTATTATTACTATCTGCACTACTAATCTGCATAAATAAATTCAACTTTACGACATATAAACCGTAACGACTCTAGAGCCACATCAGCCCGTTTGACATTATAATGTGTTTAATTCAGTTTTGTGCAACTCTCACAGAAACAAAACTTAAAACCGCATCGCTAATTTGCATAAACTCAGCGAAGATAAAACTACAGCTCTTGTGTCGCTGATGCGGTAAATTTCTGTCAGATTAAAAGACATGACTCAGTGGAATAAGGGTTAGTGTGACCAGGACACCGTACGGAGGGAGGGAGGTGGAGACTCGTCATCGACATTGAGCGACTTTCACCTGGTAAAACTTTTTCCCACTGGACACCGAAACATATGTGCTGCTTTATACACTGTGCACATGGACTCACACTTGTCCCGAACGCAACGGAAAGTGTGGAATTTCTTGTACAAATCATCTTTAAATACGCACATGCACTTCGGTACGTTACAGGCGGACTGACTGTTTGTGTTTGCTCGCTCCTTCTGAGTGCAGAGACACATGTACAGACCCCTGTTTGGTCACGCTACACACAGCATTCGATTTGTCGATTAAAATTAACGTAATCGATGAAATTCTTAATGATCAATTATCAATTAATCATGCCCATCCCTAAATGAGACACAAACATTTTAATCACCAAAACTGTGAAAATGTCAAATGTGTTGCACAAATGAGTTTCCTTCCACTAAACAAGAAACAAAATTGTTGTATATCGTATCGTTTAATGTGATGATACAGTATCGATATCGTGGGCTGCTGTATCGATATATCACCAAGAGTATTTTTTTGGGTATATTTTTAACTAAATTATTTTGTTACAGCGCTACAGTTTTGTTCGCTTGTTCAGAGGAAGGAAACTCCTATGAGACCGGGACCGGACTAGACTGGGACTAGACTGGGACTAGACTGGGACTAGACTGGGACTAGACTGGGACTGAAAACAGTTTAGTCCTGGTTTAGTCCTGATTGAGTCCAGCATTTTAAGTCACGGAAACGGGAAACGTTATCTGTTTTTTTCCATTAAATAAACACAAAATTGAAAACTGAAAAAAAATAATAAATCGTTACCCATTTTTTCAGTTTGGTTTTGGACTAAAACAGGACTGAACCAGGATTGAACCAAGACTCAAACAAGACTAAACCAGGACTGAACCAGGACTGAACCAGGACTGAAACCAGGACTGAAACAGGACTGAACCAGGACTGAACCAGGACTAAAACCAGGAGACCAGGACTAGACCGGGACCAGACCAGACTGAGTCCGAGACCAGACTGGGACTAGGACCAGGACTGAGACTGGGATTGAGACAGGAACCTGACCAGAACTGAGACCACGTCTGAGACCAGGACTGTGGTTGGGACTGAGGTTGGGATCAGACCGGGACCTGAGACCAGACTGAAAATGGTTTACTGTCCTGGTTTAGTCCTGGTTTAGTCCTGATTTAGTCCTGGTTCAGTCCGGCATCACAGTTTGAATCACAGAAACGTGAAATGGTCGATATCCGTTTTTTTCCATTATTTATTTAAACACAAAGTTAAAAACTGAAAAAAATGAATCGTTATCCATCTTTACATTTTGGTTTTGGAGACAAATAATGAAGAAAATTGTTGTTTTTTCGTTTTCTTATTTTTGGTTTTATTTTGAAAAACAAAGGAACGAATGATACACGGATTATAAATTCCTCTTTCCTCTTGTTCCAGACCTGACCATCGAGAGGTTCTGCATGACGGGTGGTATGAGCCCCATCGGTTACCTGAAAGCCTACATGACCAACCTGTACCTGTCCAAAGACCCAGAGAAGGTCACAGAGGCCATAGAAGAAGGTACGTGCGTTTTGTTGTTGTTGCACATGACGGGTTTTCATGGTTTTCTAATTCTGACTTGGTTTGGACTTGGTTTGTTTGAATAGTACGTGTTGTAAATATTTATCAAAGTTTTGTGGAGTGGTGTAGTGGGGATTTTTTAAGTGGGGGTATGTGATTCAGGACTGAACCAGGACTGAACCAGGACTGAACCAGGACTGAACCAGGACTGAACCAGGAGGACTAAACCAGGTCTAAACCGACACTCAATCCTGGTTCAGTTCTGGTTTGGTCCTGGTTTAGATATGGTTTAGTCCTGGTTTAGTCCTGGTTTAGATCCGATTTAGATCTGGTTTAGTCCTGGTTTAGATATGGTTTAGTCCTTTGTTAGTCCTGGTTTAGTCCTGGTTTAGATCCGGTTTAGATCTGGTTTAGATCTGGTTTAGTCCTGGTTCAGTCCTGGTTTAGTCCTCATTTGGTCCTGGTTTAGACCTGGTTTAATACTGGATTAGTCCTGTTTTAGTCCTGGTTTAATCCTGGTTTAGTCCTGGTTTAGTCCTGATTCAGTCCTGGTTTAGTCCTTGTTTGGTCCTGGTTTAGACCTGGTTTAGACCTGGTTTAGACCTGGTTTAGTCCTGGTTTAGTCCTGGTTTAGTCCTCATTTGGTCCTGGTTTAGACCTGGTTTAGACCTGGTTTAGACCTGGTTTAGACCTGGTTTAGTCCTGGTTTAGTCCTGGTTTAGTCCTCGTTTGGTCCTGGTTTAGACCTGGTTTAATACTGGATTAGTCCTGTTTTAGTCCTGTTTTAGTCCTTCTTAAGTCCTGGTTTAGACCTGGTGTAGACCTGGTGTAGACCTGGTGTAGTCCTGGTGTAGTCCTGGTGTAGTCCTGGTGTAGTCCTGGTTTAATCCTGTTTTAAGTCCTGGTTTTCATCATTGCCAGTAGCTCCGGTTTGATATTTAAGTTATAGCTATTTTATATTTGTTATTTTTTTTACTCTCGTGTACCACGCTCACTACACCCCTGGTTTTATGTTAGTTAAGTGTTAATTTGTGGGAAAAGCCCTTGAAAAGTAAAGTAGAAAAAAAAAAAAAACAGAAAGTATTGTTGTCTATGTCACGAACACAGAAAACTACATCCAAAATTCATAGACAATTTATGCACAAGGACAAAGGACATTTTTTCTTTTTTTCTGTCAGTTAAAACCTTCATAAAACCAAAAGTATGTGTTGTCCTCTATTTTTTATTGGTCTAATAATAACTATTGCATAATGTAATTGAAGTTTTGGCCCTTGTTCGCATTATGGTTGCCAGGTAACACTTAATCATAATCAACCAATTAATTAAACACAATTAACCTTTAGAAAAAGTATAGACCAAACATCAATCATCAGTAACATTTTGTGACACATCGAGATTAGAAAAGCGGCTTTGTTCCAGAGTGAATTGTACATAGAAAGTAATTAATTATATTTTCAATTACTATATTTTGGGAATTAAAAGATCCAGTTACAGTATTACGCAAAAAAATTGACTCTTGTGGGTGTTAAGTTATGTTATAATGTTGTTAACTCCTCAGAAATATAACTGGAGTTGTGTTTTGTTTCATTCACACGTTTGAGTGGTATAGATACAAAACTAATATAAAAAAAATGTAAGGTTAGATTAAATGAAAAGATCAATTTGGAAAATGGCACGACACATTAACTTGTGATGCACTTGAATTCGATTAATGGTAAAAATGGAACACCAACTTTTTTGTTTCTAAGTGTTTATTTTTTATTGTAATATTTTTGTAAACTATTATTTTTGTAAAGTATACTTATGTCTAGGGGTGGGCGATATCTCGATATTTTTAATATATCGAGATTTTTTTTAAACTCGATATGAATTCTGACATATCGTATATATCGATATAATGCTTATATTCAATTTTGATTTCGCCGCTTTGCTTGTTTGTTTCTCTGTCGTCGCCCGCGCGCCACCGCCTCCCTGATTTTGTTCGCTCGTGTCTCCTTCACTCGTCACTATCGCCGTGAACGCCGAAAGTTGGTGCCAGTGAAAAGCTTCTAGCGCCACGAAACTTTTCCACCATTTACAGACAAAAGCATCAGCAGCACATCCTCATGTTCCACCGAGTCGCGTCCTTTAGCCCGAAAGAAGCTAAACCGATTTGAGCTGCACGTGAGAAGTGCGCTGTTTATGCAAATTAGCCATGCGCTTTTTAAGTTTCGTTTCTGTAAAACGTAAACAAGTCTGCGCAAAGCTGCAAAAAAAATGTATAATAATAAACATAAAATAAAATAATTAACACTATAATCTCAAACGGGCTGATGTGGCTCTTGAGTCGTTATGCTTTATATATTGTAAAGTTTAGTAATGTAAATTCTATTTATGCAGAAGATTTTAATTAATAATCTGCTGCAGTGTCACTTGTACAAAAGTGTTTGGAAACGTTGGGTTTGATCTGCAGTGGATTGTGGGATTAAACCTCAGAGCTCCTCACTGCTGGATAATAACATGGATCTATTAAAATAAGGAACATCCTGAGCTTCTTCTGCTAAATGAGCTCATGGTTCTGGTTCTGGTTTGGATAACAGAGTTAATGCAAAGATGAGCTTGAGTTGAGTTGTTTTATTTATGAATGAAACAAAGGAAATATGTTTTATTTCTTTTATTTGACAGTTAAATTATTATTTATGTAATTAGGGTTTTTTTGTAATCTTAAATGTTCCTATATGAACTGTCGACCTCTTACACTTTAATTAAAAAAAAGGACCTTGTGGAATTTGGCAGATTTGTTTTTGCAGTTTTCCGTTTTAGGGGGTTATTTTTTCCTGTACAGATATCGAGATATATATCGTATATCGAGATATAGCAAAATATATCGAGATATATTTTTTGATCCATATCGCCCAGCCCTACTTATGTCTATGGAAGAAATTCTTTGAAAATAGCCATTTTTGTTCTGCTCTGCTTTCAAATGGCCATGGATTTCTCTGTGATGAAAAATTAACAATGTTGCCATAGCGATTCAATGTATTAAACACTTCTGAATTGTAGACAGTCATGACAATTGTGTCCGTATGAGAAAACATGTTGCAAAATAAGTTTAAGGCCAAAGAAATTGAATTCATTTGAATATTTTCAAGAGCTTGGTGATACTTGGTGATAGCCAGCAGACACACACCCATAAATGTGAAAACCAAATCGTGAAAAAAGACATAAAACTATCCACAAGAGCTGATCTTTGGCATCTCCAAAACTCAAAATGCTCTGCTCCACCTCCCCCTGATGTCATGTATTGGTAGTTTTAAAATTGACAGCTACTTTTTACTTTTTGTTTAGTAGGAACCAAATGATTCTAGTGAAAGTGTGGAGTGTTTAAAAAGATGACAGTTTACATCATAAGTTGGAACAGTGTTTTCTCTTTGAAAGAACAACTCAGCCTGAATCTGCATGTGTGAATGAAACAAAACACAACTCCAGGTCTGTTTGTGACGAGGAAACAACATTAGAACATATCAGAAAATAATATAGTAGAGCAGCTCGATTATGGAAACAATCATTATCACGATTATTTTGGTCAATATTGAAATCACAATTATTCAAACGATTATTTTTTTTGTTACACGACGCGTTTATTCAGCTTTTCTCTCTTAAAACCCACTTTGTTATTGATAATTTACGCAAAACTTTCAAAATGAAAATAAATATAGGCTACAAATATGTATCTTAGAGCAGTTTTGCGATGCATAAAACAGAGGTGGGACTTGACAGTTGTGACTTGGACTCGAGTCGGACTTGAGTCACTATTTTTAGGACTTGATACTTGACTTGATAAAATAGACAAATGCTTGGGACTGGACTTGGACAAAGACTTGGGACTGGACTTGGACAAAGACTTGGGACTGGACTTGGACAAAGACTGGACTTGGGACTGGACTTGGACAAAGGCTTGGGACTGGACTTGGACAAAGACTTGGGACTGGACTTGGACAAAGACTTGGACTGGACTTGGACTGGACTTGGACAAAGACTTGGGACTGGACTTGGACAAAGACTTCGGACTGGACTGGACTTGGGACTGGACTTGGGACTGGACTTGGACAAAGGCTTCGGACTGGACTTGGGACTGGACTTGGACAAAGGCTTGGGACTGGACTTGGACAAAGACTTGGGACTGGACTTGGACAAAGACTTGGACTGGACTTGGACAAAGACTTGGGACTGGACTTGGACAAAGACTTGGACTGGACTTGGGACTGGACTTGGGACTGGACTTGGGACTGGACTTGGACAAAGGCTTCGGACTGGACTTGGGACTGGACTTGGACAACTTGGACTGGACTTGGACGGACTGGACTTGGACTGGACTTGGACTTGGACTGGACTTGACTGGACTGGGACTTGACTTGACAAAGACTTGGGACTGGACTGGACTTGGACTGACTGGACTGGACTGGACTTGGACTGGACTGGACTGGACTTGGACTTGGACTTGGACTGGACTTGGGACTGGACTTGGACTGGACTTGACAAACTTGGACTTGGACTGACTGGACTGGACTTGGACTGACTGGACTTGGGACTTGGACAAAGGCTTGGGACTGGACTTGGGACTGGACTTGGGACTGGACTTGGACAAAGGCTTGGGACTCGACTTGGGACTTGGGACTTGGACGACTTGGACAAAGGCTTGGGACTCGACTTGGACAAAGGCTTGGGACTCGACTTGGACAAAGGCTTGGGACTCGACTTGGACAAAGGCTTGGGACTGGACTTGGGACTGGACTTGGACAAAGGCTTGGGACTGGACTTGGGACTGGACTTGGACGGACTGGACTTGGGACTGGACTTGGGACTGGACTTAGACAAAGGCTTGGGACTCGACTTGGAACTCGACTTGGGACTCGACTTGGACAAAGGCTTGGGACTCGACTTGGACAAAGGCTTGGGACTCGACTTGGACTCGACTTGGGACTCGACTTGGGACTCGACTTGGACAGAGACTCGGGACT